TCTGAGAACACTTGCTTATTGGACAGCGTCCTCCATTTCGTGCTGAAAAGAAACGACTGTATCATTAAGACTGAAAAACAGTGGAACTATGAAAATATTGTACTAACAGAAAGGAGAGTGATAAAAATATGGCAATATATTGAATATCATTAACACGTTGACGACAGCGTGACGCGGTAACGCGTCCCACTTTGCGCACCTCGTGGGACATTGTGACGCGGTAACGCGTCCCACCAGTCATCCCTTTTTCTTGCGCTTGCGCGACTTATTCCTAAGGTCTTTGTACTCATTCTATAGGCCATACATTAGCATACTTAAAAACCACATGGCTCACAGAAAGGCCAAATATTCTTTAGTTTGGCAGAGGTTTTCCAGACCTTACGGATATGTCTGTTCAGTTCATTCCTCGTTTCTTTTCAATAACGTAGACATGTTGATAAAAAGGAATAACAGAAGTGAATACAAACCTATTCGTATGGGAAGATATGTGTTTTTACTGAAACAACCACGTCCAAATTAATTTTGGAACCACTAAAGGGAAAGTAAGTAAAATTTGCCTTTTCATGGCCTTAACACGTCATTTCGGTCGAACTTCCATTACTGTAACTCCCGATAAGTTAGACAGATCGAACATTATTGAAAACACTTCATCGCATCTAAGTATTGCGTATTTACAGCTCAAAATCCATGGATTTGGTGTGCGGCGGCGGCGCTCGCAAAATCGCTCTGGTCCCACGCGGTGCAAAAACCCAAAACGCGCGATGTCGTCAACGTGTTAAAGGTTCCCTGAAGCTCCCTCCAGACTGATGCCTGCTTTTTCACCAAGATAAATTCTACATCGGGCAAATGACACAAGCAGGCTAAATCTGAGACACACCTGCACGTTCATAGCGCTCGAGATTGCTGGCACATTCTTCAACAGCTACACGCATCTCATTTTCGGTGCTTCCAAACGAGATCATAGCACACATTGGAGAGCACGGCGCACCAATCCATTTAACGCGAATGAAAATCATGTTGAACCGTGGTACATGCAGAAGTGCCACCTGTAACATGAGCAGCGCCTATAATCCCGAATTTGGATTGATTTAATTTCAACTACCTAACTAGATAATAATTTAAACCGATAAACAAGTATAACACCAGAGGCAAGTAAATCAGAGCAGCCTGTAAGGTATTCACCGGAACCGTTGCCTGTCGTACCCTACTTTTCTCACTTAGTCATTTTGTTTCTCATGTTTTGTACTGAATCCTTTAAATATTGAGCTTGAAATTGAACGAAACCGTAAAGAATATTTTCTATAGGTCTTCAAATCTTTTCAAGAAAGAAAATGCATGAAAAATCGTTTCAAAGAACTCTTTTGACCCCTTGAATTCTTCGAATTTCGGCATGTACTACGATAACCTTCATCTACTCACCCAATATCTACCCATGACATTGAACACAGTGTCGTCCATTTCTATTGGGAAGTCGGTGAACTTATAACACACACCATCACCGGCATTCTGAAAAAAAAACAGCTCCTTCATGAAAATGGTAAATTCAAATAAAGCATTTATGGCCTTTAGGGGGAGGGGTTGGAGATCCAAAATAGACCGATGGTAAGCCCAGAAGAAGGGAGAACGGTCAAGGAAAACATGAACTCATTCACTCCAAAACCTCCTCTCTCTGACTGTATTGGCTCTCCCTCGAATGTAATAGAAACGTATCTTGAAAAAAAAAGAGAAATCATCTGATTACACAATATATGAACAAAAAGAACCTCTTCAACGGGACGGAATATTGGTGGAGGAGGCAAATGCTGCACAGCCATGATTGCATTTACAAACGATCTGTTAGCCAAAGCAATTCCTTGGACTCGAGGCGGAGGCTGCTGTGCTGTGACCCCACCGACAGGCCGATCCTTATTCGTATTTCTGAAACGTGCACAAGGTATAGTGAAGACACTGAACAACTTTCAGTTACAGAGAATAACCCAAAAACTGGCTGGAATTGAGTTTGACAAACGAGAAAGTAATAGCGAAGCAGTTAAAACTTCGCCAAACAGAGAAAACGCGAGCCCTCGGGTTTTGACCCACCAGGTTCCGAGTAAAGTTGATTCTTCCTTAGCCAGTCAAGAGCGCAGGAATCAGAATGGAGACCGGGACCAGGGGCTGCGAACTCTCCGTGTACTAGTTCAAGATACATAAGGTTGCTCTAACTTATTAGGAGACGGGTTCGCTGCTCTTCAGAATTGTTAGCACGCGCTTTCCGCTGCCTCCTGCAATGACCCTTGAGAAGTCCTGCTTTAGATCCTCACTACACATGGCGAGAAAACCCCAGCGAAGACTGAACCGCACCGTATTTCTCTGGTATGACTCTATCCACCCTTTCGCACTTCACTCATCCAACGAACCCTAACATTTTACAACGATGCCAACGTGGGAACATCAACAGCGAATTCATCTGCACCATACTATTCTCTCTTAATGATCTTCTAAGGAAACATCCAGAACTAATGAGTATTTTAGACTGCATCACTGTAGAATATGTAGGTGGTGGAGTGTTTAATGGGTGAAGATAGGAATCTGAACTCGAATCCTGCTACGGTGCGAGGTAAAGGTCAAGGAGATGAAGAAGATTTGAAACATCAAAAACACACCCATGTTTCAAAACCAATCCCTCGATTATTACTAAATGGTACAACTGCTGCATACTTCTCTCCAAGCTGTGTAAAGAAAACCACAGCAGATTATACTTGCAATAAGCATCGTGCCGCGTCTGCAGCCCCCACCCTTTTGATAGCGATCCCGACACGGTCCCCTTCCCCTTTGGCGCAACTTCATTTGAAATTAGGAGGTATAGCATTGACTTTTGCAAGCTGTTTTGGGAAACAAGCAGGCTCCCCCACTTTCTTCACGATTTGGGGCGCGGCCGCGCTCGCCGCGGCCGCGCCCCAAACCGTGAAGAAAGTGGGGGAGCCGAAACAAGCAATGAGCCTTTCTCTTCCTTTCTCCCGTTTTGTTCGGAGTTTCTCCTGAATATAACAAGTTCTGCTTCGCAATTTACAGAAACGTTTTTGTGCAACTTGCTGAAGTTCCACGCGGCAGCAAAACGTAAAATGTGCGCGGCTTTGTGTCGAATTGAAGGCAGTAGTTTTAGCGGCACAAGAGGAAGAAGCCCCTTAAACGCAGAGATCCCTTGTTTAATTTCTGAACCCAGTTCGGGTCAGACTGGTTTGTCCTCATTCCCCCTTAGGATTGTTCTGCACCGGTGGACAGTAAGCCTCTTGAAGAAGATAAAGAAAGAGGAGATGCTGTGATAGTGTGCACTTGTGAGAGCTCCCAGACATCACTACAAAACGCTGAACCGCCAAGGCTCACGGTTGACAGATGTCCTGAGACCTGGTACTATATGAGACCCTCACGCATTAAGATGCCACCCTAGTTAAATGCGTGAAGGTCGCATCAAAGCTTGCAGTTCGATTGCGGAGTAGGTACGAAGGGTTAAATTGTGCGATCGCGCGACCGCACGATTTATATACCCTCGCCTTCAAATAACCAGAAATTGTGCAATTGCAGAAATTGACGTGGCATTAACGTGGCATCGATTCAAGAACATCTTTGAGCACACGTGATGTCACCTTTTCATCGAGAATTTGGCCACGTGTGCCACGTGGATTCTGGCTGCATG